CAATATTCTAACCAGGACCTTCATGGGTCTAGGCAGTAGCGGAAATAATGTGGTTCAGGGACTGTGACAAAAACTAGACTGTCTGGTACAGACTCAAATATTTACATTCCAATGCCAAAGAGCAGAATGCCATATTAAGAAAGAAATTTCATTTTGTAATCACTTTTGACCTGATTCTGAAGTATTTCAAAAGCCACTTTATACATTATCAGGGATCAAAAAGAAGGCTTTCAATGGAATAGCAATCATCTCCGACAAATGTTGGGGATGTCATAAAATCATCAGACTGTTACATCAGACTGTCAATGCATTGACAGTTTTTACACATACCCTTGACTAGTTTAAATGGTTCAGTTTTTGCTAATTAACAAGAGCTGCTGGAACAGCCACTACAAGTCAAGTGGATTGTTTACTTCAAAGTAACGATAACTGCTTAAACATGAGTCAGGATGTAGCGAAAACAAACCAGTATATAAAACAAATTTATGACATTTTACATCCTATGATCTTTTGCTGAATGACGGAATTGCTTTAAAAAATGAAAGTCTTTCTTTTGTTAATTCAATTTGTCTAACGTGCAATTCTACATCTGAACAGGTGAAGTGAAATGGGTCTTAATGTTGTGCACAAAGTTACTGCAATCAAAGAGCAATGTATGTGGGGAGGTGAGTGTGTGCGCATCCATGTGACTATAAGTATGTCTACCAAGGGGTGAGCGAGCGAGTGAGTGAGTGAGTGAGTGAGTGAGTGAGTGAGTGAGTGAGTGAGTTTAGCTTTACACCGCTTTTAGCAATATCACAGCAGGGAACACCAGAAATATGAATCATTGTACCCATGTGGGGAATCGCACCCAGGTCTTTGAAATGACAAGCGAACACTTTAACCTCTAGGCTACCCCACTGCCAGTCTATCTAGTACCATGCCACAGTTTCAACATGAATACTCAGTCACAATACGGTGAATCTGCGCTGTCAAGTCCTTGTTTCATCTTGGTAACACTGATAGCCATGCAGGGTATGACCATCTTTAAAAGGCTTCTGGTATGACTGGGCTAGGGATTGAACCATCGCTCTTACGTTCTCCAGGCTGACCTCTGAGCAGCAGTGAGGCCCAAAAAAGCAGTAAGTCTACAGGAACCTAGACTAAGGCTTAGTCTCTGAATATATATAATTTTGATAGTAACAAACAAGCCCATTTATATTGAAAAGGAGCCCTAGGGAGACCAGAGATTCAGAACCTGAACCTGAGGAAATCTAGACTTGCTTTATTTAGGGCTTTAGCACTGCAGAGAGGGCTTGGCAGTAGGGAAATTAATGTGGTTCAGGGACTGTGAGACAGACTAACAGGAACCCTGACCTGTTGTCTGATACCCATTGATGATGGATCTAGATCTTGGACAGGAATGTTGCCAAATCTTCATTCACTTTATCATGTGTCAACCTCAATATTAAGGTAAATATCACATGTACAATATAGCAAAGTGTTTGCTACAAGACATGGTTTTGGACACCCTCTGTAGATACAAACAGCTTTCTGGTAGTATGGTCCTAATCTAGGTTGTGAACAGGGCATCACAACTCAAGATAAATTTTGAAATATAGAATATTAAATTCTATTTGCTGATAATAATGAAAAACTTGCATATGTCAGAAAATAGAATGAATGATCAATATCACATACATGTAATAAAGCTGAAAATCCAGGCTACATTTTCATAAGTATCTAAAAACCTGATTTTGCAATAATTTTAATAACTGTGAAAAATATATATATATACAACTGCATAACTGTAATATGGAAATCAGGGGTAATTTTCATTTGTTCCTAAATGTTTCATGTTCATGTTATTTATTAGTTTGCAAATGATTGACGTCTCAATCAATGTATTTCATCTTTGCGTAACCTTACCAGCACACAGTTTGAAATGAGAAATGGGAAACAATTATCACTGGTATCACTTCCTAAAACGTTTCAAATGAATTGATGAAGCAGTTCGAATCTTTTATGAATAATTGCTAAAACTTTAAACCACCTCTCTGTGAGTTTTAAGAATTTACAGATAAAATGGCTTTTCATTTTAAATACATGTACAGGTTAAAGTGTAAACAAGAGTCCTGAAATGTCATAAGTATTGTTACATTGCTTTCACCTAAAAGTGACACCAAAAATGGGCTTTGCACATTGCACACATGTGGGGAATAAAACCCAGTCTTTGGCTTGACAGGCAAACACTTTGACCACTTGGCTACCAACATGGTCCCCTGAAAGTTTTGTTTATGTTACCCATAATACATTGTCATGTTCCACATCCAAGTTCAAAATGCCAATGAAGGTTCTCACACTTCACTACTGACAAAAAAGGGAATACTGGTTTTCAACAATGAAATAACGCACTGGCGTGAATGTCACACCACAAAATGAGTGTGTCCTGTTTTGACACTATTATTGGTGTCACACTGCTTCCTGGGAATTTGACGAAGAAAAACATACACAAATTAATAAACTGAAGGCCACTCTCTTAATGCCAAACTTAAAGACCAAAAAGGGTGTAACATTAACCTCAAAACTGAGGTCTCCATAAGGTACCAATATTCCCTGCCAAGATTATCACTCGTGTTTTCATGCAGCTGGGATCTACAAATTGGTTGTGATAGGGGCCCATTCTTAATATTTTGTTATATACAATTTTTTTACACATTTTTTAACGGAATTGGCTGTGATGTGTACAGACTGTGTTTTTTAAGCCTGGAGACGGCTAGTTTAAACTATATGCCACTAGTCCTGGGGGTTGCAGCTAGTCTTCCTTTAATGAGAGCTACATGTTGCCATGTTACATTTTCTGTCAGCTCATTCTGTTCCAGAATGTTCTTTCTGTTTTGAAAGAAAAATTGAAGCCTTGAGATCTGTTTCAGAATTACTGCCCTCAAATGCTACTACTAACTGAAGACTACCATAACTGGATTTCAGTTTTTCCACACTGTTAAGTAGCCTAGAACTAGCCGTCCAGCATGAATTAAAAAGGCTGTGTGTAACATGAATTTGAAAAAAAAACGACACAGAGATCACCTTCCATCCAGCTATGTTTTGGGAACCTATCTCCCACATAGCACAAATCAATCATATTATCTTCACATGGGACTGGGATTTTGTTTCAGACAAACAACATTCTGTGTCATCATTGTAACACAATGTGATGCGTTTATAAAACAAACTGATACATTAGTGTCACAAACTGATCTATTTGTAACACAGTGGGTGCATTTGTAATAATGTGATACATCTCATTATGTTTACTGCTCCTGTATAAGTAGCAGGGAAACAATTTATGCTTGGTCTTGCCCAGGCATATGGTTTTTTTGGTTGTTGAAATATACAAGTGACAACCACACTTACAGCTTTTTAAAGCATGGACGATCATCTTCACCATCAATGAGTGAGCATATTGAGTTTGATCTTTTGCAATGTTTCAATGATTCCAACAATACCGTGGCAAGGGACACAATAAATGGCCATCATACTGTGTAAACATGTTGAAAATCGAACCTTAGTCTTCAGTGTGATGAGCAAATGCTTTACCCGCTTGGCTACCCCAAAACCCATCAACATGAGTGAGTGAGTGAATTTGGTTTTACGCCGCTTTTACCAATATTCAAGCAACATCACGGCGGGGGACACCAGAAATTGGCTTCACACATTGTACCCATGTGGGGATTCGAACCCGGGTCTTCGGCGTGACGAGCCAACGCTTTAACCACTAGGCTACCCCACCGCCCCATCAACATGTTTTGACAAGGACACAATGAGCCAGATCACCACTTCATGTCTACAGTCATGAATGTAATACATGTCTTTAGTCATGAACATAAGGCTTGTCTTTCGTCATGAAAGGGACGCTTGTCTCTTGTCAGGGGGTAATGCTATTGTTAGACACAGTTCAAGAAGTAACCTCTTTATGCAAATTTGTTTCTGTTTACATGTCAACCCATTTATATATAAATATGTATCTAATTTTAGGGCTTCTGCCAACAGAGAAAGGCATATCCATCAAAATGATGGCGTGTTTACATCAAGCAGGATATGTCATAGTGAAAATAGCCATAGTTTTTAATGTACAGGCTGCATAAAGTTTTGGAAATTTACATTTGTTTGATATAAATCCATAACAAAATTTTAAACTTAAATTTTGAAGAAACTCAAAATTGCAGAATCAAGAATGGATTAACCAACTACAGGATAAAGAAAATAACACTCACAAAAATAAAATATTTTAATTTGGTAATACTTTAAACTCTAAGATGACTATGACCAGCATATATATAGCCCATAAACAACCTGTCACTCTTAAGTCCAATTAGGACCAATTAACAAGGTGATTGCTAATTAGTAAGATAATTAATCTATTTCAATGACTCGTGACCTCAGTGCCCCTGGTCTGTCTCCTGCAATCCTGAGGTAATACACCGAGCCTCACCTCTGTGTGCATTGGGATGTGTGAGTAAGCTAAATGGTGTTTAGTACTACCAAGCTAATTCGTTTATTAAGTGATGAACAGAACTTTTCAGAACAACTTGACATAGTCCAAAAGCACACACACACACAAAAAACCCCTAGAAAATCATAGTTTCTTTCGCAAAAGCATACATTATGAAATTAATTTCGAATATATGAAAATATATTCTTGTTTTCAATTTTCCAGGCGATTTGTCTTCTTTACAACATAAGTGATCACTGTAAATGGGGTTGTTAAGTTTCTAATTATTTTTTTACAATATTATAAGCATTGTGTGAAAACCATGACACACATTTCCTTGACTTTTCTTCATCTGAAAATGCTGTTTTTAATTAGGACAATGGAATATTTGGGTGAAAATGTAATAATTGAGCATTGTTTTCTTTGACAGAGTTGTTACAAAGCCTTCTGTATATATGGAGGCGCATGCTTAACATCAGAGTTGTCACAGGAAAAAAAGAAAAAGAGGCAAAATTATCAAAATACCTACCACAGACTGTACAAGACAGCGTATACAGGATTCCCACTAGCAAAATCTTTCCAGGCATAGTTACTTGAATAAGCTTTGGTTTGTCTGGCAAATCATCAACACAGGGTATCACGGTTACAAAGACACATTTTGGTTGCAAGAAGTACTCCAGGTGTGAAAACACAGTATATCCATGAAGAAACGGGTGTCATGCACACAAATCCAATGAATGAAACTGCGCCATAAGGGCTTGGCTAGTAAATCGTAGTAATATCCACTACCCCCGATGACTTCGCTGGTGAAAGAGGAGCTTTCATACTGAAGTGCCCTGGCTGAGTTCAGCTGAACATCGCAGTTACTTCAATCCAGTGTCCTCCCCAAACTACGTTATAGAAAATTCGAATCAAATTCGCTTTGAAGAGAATACGCATCAACTACACACCACTCGTGTATTCCAATCGACAGTTTTAATATCATACGTCAATAGAACATTGTTTTGTATTGTTATATAAGTTGTATGCATAGTTAAGTGTAAGTATTAGCGTATTTCAGGGGGAGTATGACCAATAGGTTCAATATTAGCAAACCCTAACTTACGACCAATAAGAATCGCCGTTTCTTTATGCATCGAGCCAATTGTATGAAGGCTTGTAAATATATACCGGTACAACATAATAGAAATCAACATGGTGAGTAGGCAGTGCTAGATTTTGTTTTCGTCGTTCTGTTGTTTCTTGGTTTAATATCTCCATGTCTGAGTATTTTGTGTATTTTATAACGCCCTTCTTTAATTATAGATCCTCAAAAACCTGACATCTAACGGAGTCTGTGAAAAATAATGACTAGTGGCAGTGTGACTTAGCACATTTGAGTGTGTGTGTATCCTATTTTCGTGCAATTCTTTTTCTCTGCCAACAAAATTAAAACGATTGAAAATTCTGTTTTGACAATGCGTTTTATCAAGTATTTAATAGTGATGTTATGTCAATTTGTTTTGTGGATATGAGGACAAGAAAAGGAGGCATATTCACGAGTGAAAGGCATCAACGTAAAGTGAATCTTTCATTGAAAGGAGTGAATAAAACCAGAGACCATAAATAAAGTCTTTTGGGGGTCTTAAATTCATCGAATAGTTTGTTTATTAAAGTAATATATAACTGCAGCTGCAAGTTAAGATTAGGATTAAGATTATTATGATTAAGAGGGGGACCTTGACAACATATAGCAAAGTTAATCAAGGAGACAGGTGAAAATTAGAGACTGTTCAAGTTCATTTACAATCACTTTTCTTTCTGTTGCTATATATCTTTGAAAAGAAATAGTAAAGTGGGTAAATTTGTATTGATGTATGCATGAAACTAAGTCCTGGTGAAATTTTCAGCATTTCTTCCTTTTGTTCGCATTGGTTAGTCAGTCCTCATTGACTGACTCACACCTGATATTAGTGACTTGTAGCTTCTTGGGACATAAAGCCAGTCACCATCAATTCATGACTGTACTTGGAATTGGTTCAAATTTCCAGACAGTCGGAATATCATTAGTTTTTTAGAGGAGTCAATTGATTATAAAATGATTCTCTATGAAACAAACTCCAAAGCTTTATGAAGAGCGGTTTTGAAAATGAGAAATGAAAATGTGAACCGAGGTATCACAAATTGAATCTAGTACAATTTGGAGCCCAATAATGTTATTCAAAAGATTATTCAATAAAGTATGTTTTAGAAAGATATATGCCTATATGCTCTGTTTCAAAGGGCAATCTTACATAAAATGCAAACCTTTATAAAGGATTCTGTAATACTGGTTTCCTAATCAGGGTTTAAACATTTTAAACATTTTGCGGCAGTGGTTGGGGGAAGGCACTTCATGAAGTTTGATAAAACATGTGGTCTTGACTTTTCTGATATGCTTTTGGGCACAGTGATCACACTGCAACTGTCCAATGTATTGTATTTGTCACAGCCTCTTTTAGCAGTCCTATAGAACATCAAGAAGGTGTATTTGGTGAAACCTCATAAAGAAGTAGTGTTATGTAGAACCCTATAATAAAGGTTCATTTTTTCTGTAAGATAATGACTTTAACCAGAACAGACTGAATGTCACCGCCCATAACTGCTGTTAACTCTTCCAAACTTAGATGTGTGCACTGACACTCAAAAATGTTTCATGATTGTTGCAGTAATGCATGTGAAGATAGTGATAAATTGTGATGTAATACTGAACACAAATGTGTCTGAAAAGATGCCAAACACTATTAACAAATAGCTTTTATTACAAGATATACTTCCTCTCCTGTAAATGATAGCTACTCTGCACCAAGAACTCTTTGTTATCTCACATCCATGAATAAATCTCATTAGAATAAGATCCTATTTTTCCTTATCCTGACTCATGCTCTTTTGCTTGCTTGTCTTCTTCTTCTTGTGAACATAGAGGAACACTTGTATCTCCTATTGAAGCTCCCTTCAATAAAGAATAGACGTAAAATCACTCCTACCAAGAGTTATCTCTCCAGCCGTTTAGGCGGGAAACTGTGGCGCCACAGTGCCCTCATGCCTCACTCTCTCCTTCTTCGCCCTGTGGGCAGGTTGTGAGAGCGCCTGTGTCTCCTATACAGCACTATATCCTTTAATTAATTAGTTATTTTCCTCTATTCTACTTTTATAGAGGTTTAGTTAGTATCCTACTACAATATGGTTGGATATTTAATCGTATTTAGCACTGTTTATTCACGGTATTGTCCGTATTTGTTCAGTTGTTTACATTTCATGATAACCTATTTTGTTGTTGGTTTAGGTTCGCTGCTGCAGACCCACGTTGATTGTGCCCTAGCTGCACCACTATATGTACTTCCAGCTATAGCTGTAATCTTTATCAGCTTTTAATTGAAATTCAAATTAATATATAATTTTTCTCCGTACTTAGACGTACTATCAACTATCCAGGTGACTTCCAAGTCATGGGTAAACTGGTTGAGTCCCTCATGAGCTGTCTACTGCGGTTAGACGACTTACTACCATCAAGTGAGCTGCCGGAGGTGTACTCGGAGGATGGGCGTGGGATGTTGTCCGCCTTACTTCGAAGACGTTGGCTTCTACATCGGACAACCCCTCAACGCAGACGTAGAAGACGCCATCCGCTACGCAGAATGAAGCCTCATCCTGATGCCAGCGAGAGGGCTTCATGTTAAGCCACTGCTGATCTTCCCAGAGATACAGCACGCAGTCCGAGGGCGACAGATGAGCGATCTCCGGACCATATCGCTATCAACGCAGAGAGGGCAGCTCTACAATCATTGCAGACGATGTGTAGACGCCATCCTCTACACAGAGAAGGCTACACACCCCTTAGATGACGACAACTCTACGGGGACGTCTACGCGGACGTCTACGCAGACTAAAAGGACTTTCTCTGCGGAGATTGTTCCTTTGAGGGTACAGGGACTCTTCGATGATCAACCGATCATCTTCCCAGAAGTTCATCACAAGTAACGACCAGTCAGCTACGGTGACTTCAGCGCAGATCTCCACGGTACCAGAGGTATCTACGATGACAACAGCTGAGCGTCCTGTGGGCCACGTCGCTATCAACGCAGAAAGGGCAGCGCTACTACCACTGCAGACCTTCAAACCGGGGGGGACCGTATGCAGGAGATGAACAACAATACGGCCTGGAGTAGAAGTCACAGCCCACAACGAGGTCCAGAGCCTTCGCGAAGGTTCCAACGCAGATGTCGTCTCTGAGGGACCCCCCATCAACGTGACATCTGGTAGCAGATCTACAGTACAGGCCAGCCTTCACGAAGGTCGACTCAACCATCCCTGCGACGGACACGTACGATCAGCATTCGCGAAGGCGTTCGCGAAGGAGGAATCGCCATCCCCGGCTCAGATGAAGCTTCGCGAAGGACAAGACGTCACTCCCCAGATGCGGACTGAGATGAAACTTCGCGAATGTATTCGCGAAGGAACAGTTGCCATCCCCCCAGATGTGGAATCAGCGTTCGCGAAGGCATTCGTGAAGGAGAATTCTTCCATCCCAGGCTACAGAATCGGACCACCAGCGTTCGCGAAGACGTTCGCGTAGGCATTCGCGTAGGCGTTTGCGAAGGACCAGTCGCCATCCTCGACATGCGGAATCAGCGTTCGCGAAGGCATTCGCGAAGGAAAATTCTTCTTCCATTCCCGGATACAGAATCGGACGACCAGCGTTCGCGTAGGCGTTCACGAAGCACCAGTCGCCACTCCCCAAGTACGGACTCAGTTGAGCCTTCGAGAAGGACGTCAGCTACAGTATACAAGCATCTTCGTCCCATAGATCGTTGAGGGATTCACCAGGACCTTGGCGTACCTACAGGTCACCCTACATGCACAGTTCGTCGGGCTATTTACTAAGGCTGCAACGATTCACTCGCATATTCGGTGAATCGAACTTTAGCCCTTCATGAATTCAATTCGTTATTCGTGGCCACCAGAACCGAATATTAACGAATATTTACGTTTTTTAAGGGAGCATGTTTTACTTGAACCCTTGTGTACTTTTTTGAAGTGAGATATGCAGTATGGAATATGTACTAGCTATGTACTATTTATATGTACATGTTAGTTTGCCAAGGCCACACATGGTACTGTCAAGTATAACTATTCCATACCAAATTTGAGTGTCATGAGATGACTGGTTATTGCTGTGCCAGATCAAAACTGTCAACATGGGCGTTCCATTGTACATCAATCACTTAACTAAAATATTGTATTCGTGAATAATTATTCGTATTCGTTACCCAATATTCATGATACGTATCATATTCACTACATAGTGTGTTCGTTGCAGCCCTACTATTTACCATGTCAATCTCCTCACCGACTTCCACGCAGATCCCCATACAGGTCTCCAGCGAAACAGAGACATCGCAGTACTTCGTCTCTCTACGGTATGCCACATGTCGTCTACAAGCCTGCGCGAATGCCTTCGCAATCTACAACGCAGAAACACTGCAGAACGCTACATGTCATCACCGAGCCTGCGCGAAGGCATTCGCACAGGCCAGCCACAAGGCAGAGACGTCGCAGTACTTAACTGCTTAACAGAACACTACATATAGCCTACAACTTGCGCGAAGGACGGCGCTATCGTCAGAAACTGTCAACAGATAAAGAGCCTAATAAAGGATCTTCAGGCCGACTACCTACATCAAGGGCATCAACAACGCTTTGCAGATCATCACGGGAATCACCATTTCGGTATATATTGCCAGGTAGGCAATCCCGGACTACGAGACGATTATCTACATGCAAGGCGCCATACAGTCACACCAAACGACCACCACGCAGATCACTAGGCAGATCGTCGAGGTTATTCAACTAGGACACTAAAAAGCGTCATCCTAGAAGGGAAAAGATCTTCGTCGATACACAGACTGAAGATAGGTCATACAGTACAAGAGATGTACTTTTGCCAGAATTCATCACTAGCTCGGATCTTCAGACGGAATCCAGGACGGATTCACATAGATTGATATATCTACATTAGAAGATTCATGGCCTTATAGAGATCTTCACTTTCGTACAGATCTGCAGACATTCTCTCTGACGGAGTTCAATGGCAGCCTTGCTACAGCTAGGAAATTACATACTCGTCACTGATTCCCTGAGTGAAATTTACAACAAGTTCAGCATTAATTCTACAATTA